TAAGATTTTATTTAGGGTGTACTATTTTGGGTACGTCCAAAAATTGTAATGAGTAAAAAAATTAATATTTTGCTTTTACAACAAAAAAAAATTAAAATTTTAAAACTTTTTTCATCACTTAATAAAATAATATTGAGTACGCCCATTGACCCTTTTAATTAAGGCGAGTTTCCACTCATCTGTTTTTTCACGGGAACGGGAAAGAGACGGGAAAAATAATCACGTGAGCATGCGTAATAAAAGTTTTTATTTGTCCGTAAGGAAACTGCGCATGCTCACGTGATTATTTTTTCCTTTCCTATCCCGTTCCTGTGAAAAAACGGATGAGTGGAAACTCACCTTTAAATATTGTTTATTTATTATTACTTTAACCTCCTGTTAAAAAAGATTCTTTTATTTAAACTTGAAAAACCACTCTAAACAAGAAGCAACTTTATTTATTTTTTTAACTCAATAATAAAATATTATATTAATTTTTTTTTTTTACATTTAGCTTTATTTTTGGATACGTCTACAGACATACTAGACATACCCTTGATCCGCCCCTGATATATATATATACATAGAGAAAAAACAACTTTTCATGGGACTATAAGTTTCATGCCTATATGGTAATCATCTGCCATGTACTATATCAAAAACAAACAAAAAAACTGTTTTTTGTTTGTTTTTGATATAGTACATGGCTGGTAATTGCCATATAGGCATGAAACTTATAGTCCCATGAAAAGTTGTTTTTTTCTCTATGTAAATATTATATATATATATATATATATATATATATATATATATATATATATATATATATATATATATATATATATGACTAGATTCGCCTTAAAGTCGCCAAATCGTGTAAAAAAAGAGTCGACCTAACGTTTTTCATCTTAGCTTCATCAAATTCAGTCTTACATATAAGTTTTTTTTTTTCTATTTCAATGAAATATAGTAGTTTTTGATTAAAAATACAAGTTTGTTTTTTTTTAACTGCCGTCGATGAGTATTTTTTTAAATATCTCATTTTAAGCTTATATATGTAAACAAATTCAAAATATCGACGTAAGGTCGACGGCACTTAATATCTTGAAAATTATGAAGTATAACTGTATATATCATGCTGTTATGGAGTTAAAAATGTTTTCTCTGTCACTCAGTTAAAGTTTTGAGAGTTTATTAACGGATATCATTGCAAATACAACATATATATGAAATATAGGAGATATACAGTTTTATTTTAAGTCATTTCCATTTTTCTCGTATTTCAAACGAATTTTCTTACCATGCGGAGTCGCTTTTCCCGGAAACTTGTTGTTTTTTATGAATGTTTTTGTTTTGATTTCTTTATTTCGAAAATTTTGTATGTTTATATTGTTTGTTTATATTGTAGCTGAACCTTTTTATTTTTTTACACTAACTTTAAGAATCTTATTTTAAAACTTTTTTCTATTTTTCGAAATATTTAAGTGCTTTTATGAAGGAAATATTATTGCTATATAGTAAACTAGACAACCTATTAGAAGTCTAATATACTACTAGTGTATTTGACTTCTAATATGCGTTCAGATTAGTACTGCTAGTATTACTAGCAGTATTAATCTTTATGGTACAGGTATTATAGTTTAGGCAGGAATAACTATAAAGAGTTTTTGACTGTTAACAGTCTTAAACTCTATAAAGTTGTTTCTGCCTAAACTATAACGCCTGTATCATACAGAATAATACTATCTATAACTAATGTCTAATAACTAATAATTACTAGTAATATACAAGTGTCTTATAAATAGTTATTAGACACATTAGTATAGTAATTAGATCTATATATTATAAGATATTTATTATTACTTATTTAACAGTTGACAAGATAGTTTTGTTCGCCATATTGTAGTGGATAAAACACTCTTATATTTGTGATCTACAATGGTTTAGTTAGGAGAATGCATGACTACTGGTATAGAATAGAATACAAGATAGAAAACAAGACTAAATAGAAAGCAAGACTAACTAGGAAATAGGAAATAACGCATTCACCTTCCTTTATTAAAATAAGAAACTATGATTGTATCAAGTTAACTATATTTTATGGTAGGCAAGTTGGCATACCTGCAAGACTTACAAGTAAAGAGCATAAAAATGCCTTGAACAATATATGATTAAATGAACAAAGAATAAAAAATGCATTATCTGAAAATCAATTAGAATGTAGAATGAAGATTAATTATCAGTCTGGAAGTGGGTTTAGTTGTTCCTCTCCTGTCTTAATTCCTAGAGATACAATTAAAGTAAAGTTGTTAGGTTTGGCTGATTATTAGTCAGGTTGGAGTTTCAGCAAAAACGCTATTTATTCTAGAACACGATTTTTACAAAAATTCTGTTTTGAATAAAATATTCTAAAAATATAATAAGGCAACTTAACGTGATCTTGTACAAATAATTGCCATCGCCTTGCTACACTAATAGCTGATTATACGGTTTCGGATGCTGAAATGACTATCAAACTTCAGCAGCTTACTATCTTTTTTATAGGGAAAGTGTCTTGGAGCTTTTTATCAAAACTCCTGTATATATATAAAGATATTTTGATTTGTTTGAATAGTTTTTAAAGTAGCCATTTTTATTTTTTGCAAGAAATATTGTTATGAGAAAAACAAAAGAACACAATAAAATTTACTTAAGTTTTTTTAGCAAGATGTAAAGCAAGACTTTTAAAAGCAATTAAAGTTAAGAGTAGCACTGCAAGCAGTTTAAATGAATTAGGTATATATCTTATTTACTATTTAATTTTTTTTTTGGCATGTTTTTATATGTTATAAATAAAATAAATAAATTTAAAAAACAATTAAAGTTTTATTTGTATATCAAGTTATTTTTTATATGACTATTTTTAATTGATAATTAAATAACTTTTATCAATATTCTGTACTCAAGTTTTAAAAAAATACAAATGAAAACTTTTTCTACTGAATATGAAAGCAGTTCAAGCAAATTGTAGTTCCATTTTCAAACTAATGATTATCAAATAAATAAAACTGAAAAAAGTTCTGTCTCAGTCTCAAGTTTTATTGCAAAGTATACACCAGATAATCTGACTCTATTTATATATTACAACTTTTTTTTTTTATTTTGAAGATTTTTTTTAAATGTTAATAATCACATTAGACTATGAAAAAAAATTGTTATTTAAGGTTATATTACTTTAGGGATTAAATTAAAAGTTTTCTTCAATAGCAGCTAAAATGGTGGTGCAAAGTGGGCTGTGCCTTCAATACAAGAGTAGAAAAAAATAGCCTACATAATAATCAAATAGGTTATTTATTTTATTTTACCTTATTAATAAACTTAAATTGGCTCCTCCACTTCAAATATAGTTCCTCTAATATAGTGAATAATACTTATATATGCACTGTAAGCAAATACTTAAATAGTTATTTTGTGTATAACTATGGAGCAAATTTTGACAATTCAACTTTTAATAAATGTGTTTTTATTTTTTTTAATTTTTATTTTATTGTATCAAGAGTATGTTTAGACATGAGGGCAAGGAGATGGGTAAAATTTAAGAGCATTTGAGAAAGTTCTACATATGTGAAAACTTTTGATTCTTGTGAGTAGCTATAAAAGTTCTATAAATCTTATTTAAGTCGTAGGTATAATCAAAAGGACAATATAAGTGAGAGAATGTTTTTTATAAAGATTTCTGAAGTATGTTAGTTTAATCACAGGGTATTACTTAATGCATTTACTTGGATACCCTGATTAGGTATAATAATATTTTATTAAAAAGATTTATCTTTTTAATACAATATTGTGGTTAATTTTTATCAAATAAGATGGAATAAAAAATAAAATTAAGGGTAAATGTTAAAACAATCCATAAACTTTTTTTAATTTATATCACTTGTCACAAGGTGCTGATTTATTCTTATTTTACTTTTGATTTGAGTAGATAACTTTGTATCTTTATTTCAAATTACAGCACATATCTTTTCTATTTCAGGTCGACAAGATATTATTAAGTTTGGATCAAAATACAGATCTAGCCCAGACACTGTTGAAAACAAAATCATTAACGAAATAGCATAAAAGATGCGAACCTTTTCCGAAGTTCTAACGACATTAAAACTTATTTTTTTAAAGTTAATTTAAAACAGTTCCGAATAAAATTTATACTTTGAAGTAATGTTTTTTCAATTAACTTTTTCCCTTAAAGTTTCATTTATAAAACCTTTTAATTAATTTTGTGAACCACGGCGATACCAGTGACACAAAAATACACACTTTTTTTCACCTCGGCCTGTGTATTTATAAGAATTGTTATCCCGCGGGGAACCCATTTTTTTAATGTCGACTTTAAGGAGATCTAATAAAAAAAAAAGTTAAAGTCAACTTTTAATAAAAAAAAATTTCTCGAAAGCGTTAAGTTGACTTGACATTGAAAATTAAAGAAAAGTTTTAAAATATTTAATTCCCAATTGAACAAGAAGCCATTTCATTAATTTTTGAAAAAAAAAAAGTTTTAATTGATAAAGTTATACTGATTTTTGAGGCGTCGACTTTCCGCGGGTATTTTATTGCTGTCGACTCAAAGTTGATCTAGTGGTATATATATATATATATATATATATATATATATATATATATATATACTTTTTTACATAGAGAAAACTATTTACCTAAACGCCAACAAAAAACTATTTACATTTTTGTTTGTTGGTGTTTAGGGTCTCATTCCAAAATTCAGGCTTGAGGTAGTCCCCCTAAATCCAATTAGTTTATTTGGAAAAACTTAAAGAGTTGCTTATAACAAATGGAAAGTTTTAAGAATAGAGCCAGATCTTTTTTTGAAATTAGGAGACATGTGATGCACTCTAGTAGATATGCCTTCAAAACTTTTTTCTTAAAATAATATAACATTAGTAAAACATGTTCTCAGCAAACTATAAAAATTTAAAACAAGAAAAGCATTTTGAAATAAAAAAACTTAAAAAAATGAATATACCTACTTGTTCACTATTTTCAACAAGAGCTCCAATTGCTTGAAGCCCTGTAAAATTTGTCTTGGTAATGGAACCAAACTGCGTAATTAAATCATTCAACTTGAGCCCCTTAAAATTTAAGATTAAAGATAAGCTCTATGAATAAATAAAATAATTTAATTCCTTTTAAAATACTAAAATTATCCATAAAAGTAAAAGTAAAATTTAAGGATTATAAGAAAAGTTTATAATAATAAGTAAAAGTTAAAACTTTTGTTGAAGTTAAAAAAAACAATTTCTAATTAATTCAATTAAATTGGAAATTTGATGCTTTTGAGACCATTTAAAAAATTGAATAAATATACAACCTAAAAGCACATATTTACAGTAATTGATGAAAATTAATATACTTTGTTTTTAAAAGCTTAGTGTTAATACTTAAATCTTTGAGAAAAATTCACTTTTACTTATGTAACTAACAACTTTGTTTAAAGTAAATTTACTGGTAGCTGGAAAGTAGCTGAAAATTTACTGGTAGCTGGAAAGTAACTGGAATTTTATTGGTAGCTGGAAAGTAGCTGGAATTTTACTGGAAGCTGGAATGTAGCTGGAAATTGACTAGTTAAAGTAGTTGGAAAATAAGAAATACAAAAATAGTTAATTTTTCTTAAATATTAAACTGCTATTAATTTTTAAATATATGTGATGACTCTAACTCTGATGGGGGCTGTCAGTAACACCACAAGTGTATGGAAATGGGGTGGAGGGGGAACAATTCCTATATTTTGTCAAATCCTTAACTCTGGCTATCATGCTGGAATTTTATTTCCAATTTATCTAGTACCGTGTTCAACTTGAGAAACAAGTTAAACATGGTACTATTAGGGAGGTGGTGGGGATTGAACTTAGAACTTCTCGCTTATGAAGTGAGCACTCACCATTACCACATTTACTTACACTACACCACTTATCTAATAACAGACACTATAACAGACACTATTTAACAACAGACACTATTTAATAACAGACACTAACCACTTATTTAATAACAGACACTATGAAAGCTGATACTTATTTAATAACAGACACTATAAAAGCTGATACTTATGCTAATATACTTCATTAAATCTTTTTTATACTAAGGATAGCATGCCATTGCTTTATCTGCAAGATATTCTAAATATACAGCTTCTTTTACAAAGAGATGGTCCTAAAATAATGAAATAAAATAATTTCAGCACAATAGCCAGATTTATTAAAAAATTTATGAAAAATTGAAAAATATAAGGTAGCAAATCAATCAAGAGAGCTTAATGTAAAACAAAAAAAAAAAGTAAAATTATTGTGTTAAAAAATATCATTCCTAAAAAAGATCTTCAGAAGTCAAGCTATTCAATTGAGTTCTGGATCTCATTGGAGCAAAGGAAAATCTTCAAAGATATTCTTGAAGTAAATATTCCAAGATTATATACAAAAATTATATACAGCGGGTGATTAATAAATATAAATATAAAAAGTCTCAGAACAAAAAGTATCTGTGAATGGCTAAAAAAGCATCATGTTATGCTGTTCTGTTATCAACACACCATAAATTGTTCAACAGCATGCCCAAAAGAAAAATTGACAAATTGAAATTAAAAAATTATAGGACATGCAATAATATATTAACTTATTATCATATATTGTATGAATTGATAGATAATTTTAATAAAGTGACAGATAAACTTCTTGCAAAAAATAAATATACATAATTTACATAAAAATTTAATTTTTTTTTTTCAATATAAAAGCAAATTGGTCATTTCTGTATTTATTATTTTTCCAGTAAATTTCTAGTCACTAACAATTGCTGTTAGTTACATGAAAAAATCAAAGGGAATTGAAACTTTTTTTTTAAGATATAAATATTAATATTAAACTTTATAAAGACAAAAAAGTAATATAAATTATCACCACTGTGATTTAAAGGATTATAAGATTGAAAGGTATTTTTTTAAATGTTTAGGTATTAATCATATTTTCTACCACTGTATATATAAAAATCTTCAAGTGCAAAAATTTTTCGATATTTTACAGCCTATTATGGTAAAGCAAAAGAGAAGAAGAATTATAAAGCTACAATACCACAAGTACAGTGTACACAAGAACACTACAAGTGTACTTGTTGTTTCCCCGTACATAGTAGAATTACAGAGATTATTTTGGCTATAAATCAATTGTTAATTCATAATCATTACACAATTTTAACTTATAAAGCCACAACCTTAAGTAGACAAAGCACAAGTATAAGGTTGTCTGCTAAAATATGTTTATAATTTGTTTTGTGCACTTTGTCTAAATGAGATCATCATGTAAAAAACAATATTTCATACAAAATAAAAAATACAATTATAGAGGTTGAAAATTTAGTCTTAAAATTTTGCAATAAACTTTTAATAATAATTGACAAAAAACTGAATTTTATTTAATTCAAATTAGTTAAAACTCAACAACCACTTTAATTCAGTTTAAACTCAACAACATTCAATTTAAATTCAGTTTAAACTCGACAACCACTAAAAACTCACAAAAAAAGAGATTATATTCAAGTTCTGCATTCCTAAATCAAACATAATTTTTTTGATTCAATAGAAGCCAAAGAATTGTATATGCTCATTATGTTAAAAGGCTATAAGTGGTATCCCACAAGGATGCATTCTTAGACTGCCTTTGTTTTATTTTACAATATTTGTGTTATACAGACAATATTATTTGTGGCAAGCAGAAAACAACAAATTATTACAATATTAGATAAATTAAGTAATTTAATGTTTTGTGTAACATTAAGTAATTTAATGTTCTATAAAAAAAAAAAAAAAATGATGTTGATGCAATAAATGGTCAAAAAACTGAAAGCTGAAATTAAAAACTGAAAGCTGAAATTAAATTCTGAAAAGTGTAAAGCTATGCACATCAGTAAAATAAATTAAAAACATTACAAAGACTATTTCCAAAAATACTTTAATCTAAAAATAAATTATCTTTCAGAGAATTAAATATAAGTTTTATCAGACCTTACCTTGAATATGAAAGTATGAAATTCAAGTATGGTCACCATATATGGAGAAAGATAAAAATATTCTAGAAAACATACAAAGACAAGAAACAAAACTGTTACTGAAAATACAACATTTATCATATAAATGCTTGATACAACATATAAATACTTGATACAACATCATATAAATACTTGATACAACATCATATAAATACTTGATACAACATCATATAAATACTTGATACAACATCATATAAATGCTTACACTTGTTGAATTTGACAACTTTAAGAATTAAAAAAAAAAAATGAATCTGAAAATGATGATGAATGATAAAAAAAGAATGAAAAAAAGAAATCTAACTTTCAAAATTGAATAGCATATTCTACTACAAAAAAATTTAAGATTTCACTATTGCTCAATTTACAAATAGATATGAAAAATCGGAAACTTTTTTTACAAATGGACTATTATGTAACAAACTGCCTTTTGGAATTGTTGAAGTGCAGTCCATTAATGAATTTAAGATTGTAAAAACCACATTTTTCGAAATGCTTAGTTTAGTAACCTTTTTTCTGTTTGAGTTTGTGAAAAACCTGTTTTGAATTTGTCATATAATTGATTATCAAATTGTTTCTTTTTAACTGCTTTATTAAAGTCATCCTCGAAGGCCAATACTCTTCTTTATTTCCAGTAACTTATGGGGTACCTCAATGTTCTATCCTTGATCACGTTTTGTTTCTAATCTACATTAATGATCTTCCCAACAACCGTATATCTAAAAAGATTCTTTTTGCTGATGACTCAACTTTATAATCCTGTCTTGACAAAAATTCTTCTCTTTTCGATTGCTTAGAACAGGCAGCCGATCTTGAATTTGATCTTACTTCTGTACCAGATTGGGGTTTGCAGTGGCTTGTAAATTAAAACTCAATTATTTACAACAACTATTACAATACTGTTGACATTCCTATATTATTGAATGGCAACCGTCTCACTGAGTCCTCTCCTTGATGTCATCTTAGATTATTGTTTACTACCAACTATTCATGGAGACCATATATACAAACAATGGCTAAACTACAATCTGCTAAGATTGTTTTTCCTTACCGTGCTTGCCATTTTTTACTCCTGATTCCATTCTCTAACTCTAAAAATTACTTATTCGTCCATGTATGGAATATTTGGGCTGGTTCTTCTTATGATGCTCTTTCTCTTCTAAACAAGGATCAAAAATGCATTGTAAAATGTAGTTGGACATGCTTTATCTGCGAAGCTTGAGCGTCTTTCCCATTGTCGTAAAGTTGCATCTCTTCTCTTTTCTATAATTACTATTCACTGCTCAAAGAAGCTATCATCTCTAATTCCATCCACTAAAACTCATTCTCGCTTGACAATTCATTCAGTAAAGCCTCATTTGTTTACTGTATTTGTCCTTGCATGCAATAAAAACTTTCATTCCTCTAGTTTTTTTTCCTGCACTTTAACCCTTGGGAACTCTCTCTCAACTTCATGGTTAACTGACTCATACAACCTAAACTTTTCAAGTTTTCTGTTAACCATTTCCTTGCTCTACAACTCTATTCTTTTTTTCTTCTTCTAGTAATTCCCGACTTGATAGTGGTTGCTTGCAGCCTTGTTGGTAGTGAATCAGAATAAAAAAACAACAACAATAACAAAAAAACAATATCTTTTGTAACTTTATTTATTTCATTTTTTTATTACTTTATTTTTTAACTTTTGTTTTTTGAATTTAAATAAAGATATTTATAAAATAAAAAAAAGAACTGACAGCAACTTCAGCTGGAGAACCTTCATCAACTCTATTGACAACCAAAAATGGGTGAAGCTCTGAAAAAGAATTGTAGAGTATTTTCTTTAAATTATCAAAATAAATCAATAAGAAAACAACAACAGAAGTTTCCTAAAAGCCTATTACTTATATAAAGTAAGTTGATCACTTGTTCTTAAACTTCATTTGAATAAAAAGTTATTAAAAAAATTAGGAAATATCACAACGTAAAAATAAATTTATATAGAGTAAAATTTGATTTATCAGAACATGTAAACGATAATTTTAAGTAAGCTTTTAAAATAACCCTGATTTACTAATTTATAACTTTCTAAATTAATAGTAAATTAGTTATGAATGCTTTTATAATATTGTATTTATTCTAAATTTGACGGCAATTTTCTTATTTTATAATCTTGTACAATAAAGTTATAAATAAAAACTAAAAAATGTTAATACTCTGTTTATGTCAATAATTAATAAAATAAAAATCATTTATTTAGTTGTTGTTTTTATCAATTACTTCAATCAATACGTGATAAATTAAATCTGTGTGATTACTTCCTTGTTAAATTCACATAATTTCTATAAATGAATTTATATATTTATATTTATAAGTTAATTTCTGTTTATCTGCTAATATTAAATGTATCTCTTTTAATCTGCTAATATTGAACAAACGCGATTTCTCTCTGTTAATCTAGTAACATTAAACAAACACTGTTTCTCTTTGTTAATCTAATAATCTCTTCCTTAATTTTAATCTCAATTTTTAACTATTAATCTTTATTAATCTTATCTTATGTAAACTAATACAACAATTACAAAATCTTCTGTGTCAAAAAAAATTTAAAACAATGGCTACAGCAACAATGTTGAAAATGCATTGAAACATCATTGAGCGCAAGAAACCTTGATAAAAAAAAAGTGCATTCAAGTTTAATGTACAAATACTGATATCAACAAATATAAAAGTAAAAATGCCAGTTAATATGAGAGCAGAAGGCTAACACCTTTATCAGTGAAAACAACACCTTTATCAGTGAAAACAACACCTTTATCAGTGGAAACAACACCTTTATCAGTGGAAACAACACCTTTATCAGTAGAAACAACACCTTTATCAGTGGAAACAACACCTTTATCAATGGGAACAACATCTTTATCAGTAGAAACAACACTTTTATGGAAACTAAAAAAATGTTGATTTATTTTATTCAATGTTTCAGTATGACACAAGCTGATATAATCTCTATTGTTCAATTTATCTAAATAACTATTTAAAAAACATAAAATAAGATCATTTATTCAAAAAAAGCAAACAATGACATTGATGGAAAATTTTAAAGAGAGATGGAAACATGAAGTAGCATTACACAAGGCAGACAATGATAATAAAGATGGTGATAAAGATGTAACAGTCAATTACTTTAGCAACTACATTAAAAAATACAATCAAAACAAAACTGATCTTTTATAAGTTTCATATATTTAAAACTGAAACAAGTGTTTTTTTTTGAAACAAGTGACCTAGAAAAACTTTCAAATTTATGCTGAAAAGGAACAAAGAACATCCTCAAACATACACACAACAATTAAAAAATTAATTATACTATAAACAACTGTGTCATTGCATCAGACTTATATTTACTGCCTTTTATAAATCATGGTGCAAAGATGGTCTGTCTGGCATAGTATATACAAGATCAAACAATTTTTTGATTTGTGGATAAACATCAGTAAATAAAAAAAAAACAAATTTAAAGAGAAGATTAAAGCAATAGAGCAGGGTTGTGCAATGGAAAAAAAACTAAATAATAATAAAAAAAATACTATAAAATGTAACACAGAATATTCAGATGATGCAGCTATGTAAGTAAGCAGCAGTCAGATATGTACTTCAAAACAATATCACTGAGCTAGTTTTAATTATACTGTTGCTTGTCATGAAAATTACATGCATTTAAAGATTTCCTAATTAGCATACAACTGTATCTTACTTTTATTGGGATTCTGTTGAAAATAATATGAAAAGGCTACAAAATAAAACTTTTATTTGAGCTAACAATTTTGCTGAATAGGGGTTAAATTGAATGATGTTGCACATATAAGTCTATATACTACGTACACTACAGACAACTTAAAAGATTGCAAATTATATGAATCAGGAAAACAAGATAAAGGAAATGAATTCCAAAGGACTGATGGTCAAATAAGAATTTTTGGATCATTTAGGAACAGTCGCAGTAAAAAGACGAAACTTAATTGAATGATGAGTAACATGAGAATGAATTTTAGTAATTTTTAGTTTGAGATTTAATTTCTTACTCAGGAATAGAATACGTAAGAAATTTGTGAGCACGATAAAGAGATGCAACCGTAAGAGATGCTAATTTTGCAATGAATTTGATATATATTTTTTTTAACATCTTCGCTTTCAACAAGGCTGCAAGTAATCACTAATTAGTGCTGGAAGTTACTATAAGAAAAAAGATGAACGTTGTATAGCAAGATAACGATTGACAGATGACATAAAAGATTGCAAATAGTATGAATAAGGAATGCAAGATGAAGGAAGCGAATTCCAAAGTACTGCTGTTCGAGGAAAAAAACTAGACAAAAAAGAGTTTTTATAGCACTTAGGAACAGTAACAGAAAAAGGATGAGACTTAATTAAATGACAAGTAACACAAGAATGAATTTTAGTAGATGGCACAAGAGTAGCTAGCTCTTTAGAGCAGTGCCCATTATAGTATTTGTAAAAAAGAGAAAGAGAAGCAACATTACAACGATGTGATAGAGGTTGAAGGTTGGCTGCGAGAGCAGGTCCAACTACATTTACAATGCATTTTTGCACCTTGTCTAAAAGAGAAAGAGCATCATTAGAAGATCTGCCCCAGATATGGCAACAGTATTCCATACAAGGCCGGATTTGAGATTTATAGTGATAGAGAATAGTATCCAGAGTAAGAAAGTGTCGAGCTTGATAAAGAGATACAACTTTAGCAGATGCTAATTTTGCAAAGGATTTGATATAAGGTTTCCAAGAAAGATCAAAAGTGAGAGTTAATCCTAGAAGATGAAAGGTAGATGACTCATCGAGTACATTACCATTCATAAATATAGGAAGGTCTAAATTATTGCAATAACAATTGGCTGAAAAAATTCAGTTTTATCTAAATTAAAGTTCACCAGCCACTGTGAGCCCCATGCTGTAGCAGAAGTGAGATCCTTTTTAAGCTCAAATGCCCCCTGCAAGCAATCAGAGGGAGTTGGCTTCTTATTGTGACAAGAATAAATGATAGTATCATCAGCGAACAATGCCACCTTAGTTCTGAAAATATTTGGAAGATTGTTAATGTAAATTAAAAAGAGTATAGGGCCAAGGATTGAACCTTGAGGAACCCCTGAGGTTACAGAATAAGAAGAAGAGTGCTGTCCATCAAGGACAACTTTTATACTACGATTGGAAAGGAAGGATTCAATAATCTTAAAGATGTTTCCAGATACACCGTAAGAAGAAAGCTTATGGAGAAGACCAGCATGCCAAACTTTATCAAACGCTTTAGAAATGTCACGAGCGATGGCCTTAACCTCTCCACCTTTATCTAATGCGCGATAAAACCTATCGGTTATTACTATTATCAAATCAGCTGTAGAACAAGAAGATCGAAATCCATATTGATGATCAGAAAGTAGGTTATGAGATTCAAGTTGAGAGATTAAGTGTTTGTTAATTAAAGATTCAAAAACCTTGCTTATGATAGGAAGAAGACTAATGGAATGGTAGTTAGATGAATCGGATTGCTCTCCAGAATTTTTAAAAATAGGGATAACAGATGCTGCTTTCCAGCAGGCTGGAAAACAAGACTCTGATGAGCACTTGTTAAATTTTTTTGAAAGGATAGATGACAGCTCCGGAGAACACTTCTGCAAGACTATAACGGGTATGTTAGAAGAGTCTAAGCAGGAAATCACTTTAGATACAGAAGCTGGAGTGATATGGATGTCGAGCAATGGATCAAACTGTTTGACGGCTATATCAGGTAGAGCGCAACTAGTGGAATCCAGAGATGATATTGATGAAAAGTTCTTGGCAAACAATTCAGCTTTGTCTTAAGGTGAGGTGACAAAGTCTGAACCATACAAAAGAGGTGGAATTACAGACTTGCCCTTATTATTGATACTATTAAAGAATCTCCAGAAGTCACGAGAGCCTAACTTGTGTGAGGAAATACAAGATTTCATGATCTGAGAATAGCGGGCTTTGGCGTAAGACAAAACCTTTTTACAATGGTTCCTAGCAGTAATAAACAGACGTCTGTTTTCTGGAGAATTGTTTTGCTGATAGATATGAAAGTAATGGTTTCGATTGGCAATTGCAGCAGCACAATGCGAGGATAACCATGGAAAAGAGTGAGGCTTGATCTGGAATCGTCAAAAAGGAATAAAGGATTCCATGCCAGCCTGAATCCATGAAGTTATGTATGAAGCACATTTGTCAATAGGAAGACAAAGGATTTCTACCCAGGGGCCATCACGAAAAAAATCACGAAAAGAGTCCCAGTCAGCTTTAAGGTAGTTGTAAGATGTACAATGATAGGGGGATTCTAATGATAAAGAAGAATGAGATAATAGTTTTAGAGAGATCAAACCATGATCGAATGTAAATGCCTAGGCCAAGCATGTGACTTATGGAGTCTTTACGAATTAAAGGAAGATAACCATCAACACTAAGATCACAAGATGAGACAGTCGAACTCAAACTAGTCTCACAAAGAGCAAGTAGGTCTGGTGAACTTTGCAAGAGATAAGATTCAACAGAAGAAAAGTTACTTCGAAGACCACGAATATTAGTGAATGATAGGTTTAGCGAACATACCCGTTATAGTCTTGGTGATGACTGTGGTTTTTTGTGTTTTATAGTTTTTATTACTTTATTCATTTTTAAATTTGTTAAAGAACTTGACTCGAAATATAGATAGTACTCAGTACACTGTTTTATAGCCCAAGCAATTGCCTCATTTCTATTAATAAACCCTAAGCCGTAACAAAGGGC